TTATGCTCCATTGGTCGTTTTTGTTTTCTACCAACCTTTACTTCTATGGCAGTGAGATAGTGTGATGTATTTACTGGGGTAGTGTAACTCATTCCTTACTTAACCATTTCAGATCAGGAAGACGTGGTTCTCAATCCCATTACGCAGGAATACGGCGAGTTAGACGCCTAAAGATTTTATAGTTCTATTTATAGTTTTTATTTCGAGTATTTCTTTTAATTAGTTTATTCTTTCATACGTTGAATACGTTTATGGTTATCGTGTAAGGGATGTTAATCAGAATTTTTATTTCGCTTCTGCATTTAAAATTTTTAATACATACATTTTCATTTAAATTTCCGGAGCCATTACAGCAATCACTTAACTAACAGAAATAGTGTCATGAACTTAATTCCCCCTTCTAGACAGATTTGGAAGGCTAGTGTCCCTCCTAGAGTTGCTTTTTTTGCATGGGAAGCAAGTAGAGAATGCATTTTGACAATTGATAACTTAATTGCTTGGGGGCTGTTTATTCCCAATAGATGTTATTTATGTATGGCTGATGCAGAAAGTTGCAGGCATGTTTTGTTGTGGTGTCCGATGGCGTTTGGTTTCTGGAGCACCATTTATAGGTTGATTGGGGTTAATTGGGTGATGGCTGGATCTATTAGGGAGGATTTGTGGGCGTGGGATGGCATTCATTTAGATAGAAAGTTGAAATATATTATTCTATTATCCTTGTTGTGGATTCTTTGGAAGGAAAAAAATTCTAGAACTTTTGAGGATAAACCTACTGATTTGTATAGGTTGAGAGATAAGTGAATGTATTATTTTGGGATTTTGTTGTTAGGGCATGACATGATTAATGATGTGAATTTTGAGCAAGTCATACACTCACTAACTATATTGTAAAGTTTTTGTATAGGGGCGGTACTCCCGGTTTTATGATACCATGATAATATATAGTTCATACTTCTTATTTCAACAGAAAAAATAACTGTAGTGAAAGTGTTCTACAATCTTACATTTGCAGGGCCATTGTGATCTTATTTCAACAGAAAAAATAACTGTAGTGAAAGTGTTCTACAATCTTACATTTGCAGGGCCATTGTGACATTTGGTTTGAATGCACTCCATGGGAGGCACAAAGGCAGGGGTCGTGCTTGGGAAGGAGCTTGGGACTCAACTAATGCTTATGCTTTTATAAACTATACTGTTTCAAAAGGATACCAGATAGATTCATGGGAATTTGGTATGAGCTTCAGACATAGTTGTTTGTTTTCTCTGTTTGAATTTGGTTGTCTTACTCTAATTTTCTCTCATGATAGGTAATGAGTTGAGTGGAAGTGGTGTTGGTGCAAGTGTAAATGTTGAGGCATATGGGAAAGACTTGATCAAATTGAAGGGTATTATCAATAACTTGTATAAAAGCTCCCATTCAAAGCCTTCACTTCTAGCACCTGGAGGATTCTTTGAGAAGGATTGGTATGCTAGGCTTCTTCAGGTTTCAGGTCCAGGCATTATCAATAGTATGACTCACCATATATACAATCTGGGTGCAGGTTGGCTTTGTTTTGTGCAAGTAATCTTATTTCCAATATAGTTAAAGTTATGTTGGCATTGGGATCGGTTAAATTTAATGTTCTTTCTAGTAATGATTAAAAATTATATTATGCAAGAGTTTTTCAAGACATTCATCTTTTGTACTTTCTAGACTCGAATGATATTCACTCCTGCCAGTTCTGTTTAAAATTGTAGGGTTTTTTTTTGTTCTTGTCATCTGCTTTCCTTATGGTTGCGAGGAACTATATTACTCTGATTTGCTAAAACACAAAGCAGGTCGAAAGAAGCCTCTTGTATTTAAATCCACTAAGTAAGCATCTGGTAACTTTTGGCTAGAACTGAAGAGAGATGTTTGTTAACGTGGAGTTGGAGTGTAATACATGTCAGAAAATCTTTGCTGGGTAGCACCTTAAAATAAATGTGTGAGAATTACATCCATCTTTTTCTTAAATACTCTTTATTCCATTCTTTTATTTTTGTTATGGTGCTCTACATTGTCAGTGCCTTTCATTGTGTCGGCATGAAGATGAATAGAACTTTTTCCTGCTTACATATAATTAGATGTTTGAGATGGTGAATTGTCAAGTACCTATTTGTTTAAACTTGTGCGATGCATATTGTAAAGTGGACAACATGATCCACGACTAGGGACTAGAATTGCAAAAAGGAAATATACTGGATATTGTTTCTCAAATTGCTTTAGTCTTCTCTTCAATTTCCAGATCATGTTTGTTCACTAACGGATTTTGCCTGTAGTTTGAAAATAATGTTTTCTTCAGAAGGGATCCAATATTTATATATACCCCAGACATAAACTCATGCTCTCACTGTTAATTGTTTGTGACTTCATTCTAATTTTATATGCTTATCTGCATTTCAGGTGATGATCCTAAGCTTGTGAGTAAAATTTTGGATCCCCAATTTTTGAGCAGGGTATCCAGAACATTTGGTAATCTCAGTCAGACCATTCAAAAGAATGGTCCTTGGGCTTCTGCATGGGTTGGAGAATCTGGTGGAGCCTATAACAGTGGTGGTCGCCATGTCTCTAATACATTTGTTAACAGCTTTTGGTAAATTTGGTTGCTTAACTTCTTCTATTAGATACACATTATTATTGAAGATGAATCTGTTATCAGTCTAGAAAATTTATTTATTTTTCTAATCTTTATTTATTTGGAACCATTAGGTACCTAGATCAACTCGGCTTGTCATCCCTGTACAACACTAAAGTCTACTGCAGGCAGACTTTAGTTGGTGGGAACTATGGTCTTCTCAACAGAACTACATTTGTCCCAAATCCTGATTACTACAGGCAAGAGCAGGGACTTCAAGTTCTCTCTGCTTCATCTGTACTAAAATTTTCTTTTCCTTTACGAGGAGAAAATATTAAAAAGAAGTTCTCTAATGCTTTTTTATTTCATAAATTTATTATGAATAGTGCACTTCTATGGCATCGACTAATGGGAAAAGGCGTTCTGGCTGTTGAAAGTAATGCATCACCTTATCTACGTTCTTATGCCCATTGTTCAAAAGGAAGAGTAAGTCTCTAGTCCTCAGTTATACTTTCTCGGTTCCATTTTATGTGAATTTGTTCATGAGGCAAGAATATTGATGCCATAAAGGCATTGGTGGAATTTGATAAATGTATTGTTGAACAATTTTCTCAAAACTCTAATTTTATAGGAAATAATTTAATCTATCATTTATACATAAACATGCTCCTTCATGTGCAATTTTGTTAAGCAAAAAGCATGGATTGAGCATAGATTCTCCATGAATTGTGATAGAGCTTAATTAACATAAATAGGGTAGATAGGCTTCAAATTGTAAAAACTGCTCTGACACCATGTTAAACAATAAAAGTTTAACTGATTTTTCAAAATGCTCGAAGTTATAGGAAATAACTAATCTATTGTTTATGCAACAATAAAATCTATTGATAATTCTCTCCCTGAGAAAATTATATGGTTATGATTATCATCAGTAACATTGTTTTAACTATCTAAAGGGGAAAAGTAATTCGAATCTTATGAACCTACAGCAATTTTCTTAGCAGTATACATATGTTAGACCACCAATTATTGTGTGTCCCAACTCCCAAATGTGTACCAAGAATTCCATGTAACATCTCATCTGTGATTCACCTACTCATCTTGGCTTATACTTAAAAGCAAGACCTGAAAAAAACCTGATTATGCTAATTACAATTGCCTGCTCTTCTGTCGCTACCTTGCATTATTTCTCTCCTCAAAATTTGATAATTCTATCTCAATGACAATTTATAGAAAGGCTGCTTGTTTCTCCAGATTTGGACTACAAATATTAGCTTGTATATCTACTTGATCTTATTTTCAATTTCCCCTTCTTGGTTATGTTCATAATTTGTCATTGTTCTGTTACAGCCTGGAGTAACCTTGGTCCTTATAAATCTGAGCAATAAAACTGAGTTTGTGATTGGTGTTCAAAATGGTCTGAACATCAATTTGCACCTGGAAAACCAGAGTGCCCACAGAAGAGCATCATTTGCCAACAGCCTTAAGAACAGGTTTTCATGGATAGCGAACAAGGCTTCAGATGGATCATTTTTCAGGGAGGAATACCATTTGACAGCAAAAGATGGGAACCTCCAGAGCCAAACCATGGTTCTAAATGGAATCCCGGTAAAGCTTACCGACAATGGAGACATCCCAAATCTAAAACCTGTTCGTAATGACGTGAGATCTTCAATATATGTCCGTCCTCTGTCCATTGCGTTTGTTGCACTTCCTAACTTCGATGCTCCTGCTTGTAGATGAAATTTACATGCAGTCAACAGCTTGAGCTTTTAACTGTACTATTATCTTGTACATGATAATTATGGAACTGGAAAATATGGTGGGTTTTCATTTCTTGCCAAGTGTAATTATCATTAGAATTTTAATAATGGCTCTATCAATCAAAATGCAATCAACTTTCTTTTTGATTCTCCTCAACCATGTAAGTCTTAGCTTTGCACCTACAAATATTTTTATATGTTGTTAATGTAAGATTGTAATGTGTTTACATTACGTAACGAAAAATATAAAATAATTTAATATAATTTATTTGTGTTTTAAAAATTATATTATAAGTTAAAAATTAAATTTAAAATATAATTGATAGTGAATTTTTAAATTAAAATTAATTTTTTTTTTATGTATGTATATATACTGAAATTGACTTTTATTAATTAATAATTTTATTAATAAAATATGTAAATAAATTGAATAATATTTATGTTAAAATTTTCTTTCAAAATTTTAACAGAATTAAAAGAAAAATTCACTCAATATTTTCTTTTTTCTTTTGGTGTGTGTGCAGCTACAGGGTTTTCCTTTTTTTCTTGTTAGGTTTTTTTTGGAATCACCTTTTAGTATATATATCACACACATATATAGGTAGCATGGATAGTTAATAAGTCCTATTTGGTATTATTCCTGCACAAGTCCAAACAAATTTAGACATTTCTTTTTTTTTTAGCATCCAATTATATATATATATATATATATCATATATATAATTGTCAGGTCCATCTTCCTGTACCGGTCCAAAACAATTTAGACTTCATTTTTTTTTCTCTTCAATATCCAATTATATATATATATATATATATATATCATATATATGTTGCCTATTATTATTATTATTATTATTTAATAAAATAATTTTATAAATTGATTCAATTTCAAATTAGATTTTATAATAATCTTTATTATTATAATAACCACATATTATATTATTATACTAATTACATAATAACAAAAAAATATAGATATTAATATTCTATTTTTAAAATAAAAAAATTTAATTTATCTTTAATATTAATTATATCATTTAGGTTAGGAAAAAATATAATAATATTTTATTTAAACAAAATTTTATTTATTTGATTAAATTAAATTTTTTAATCTAATTATGAAATAATTAAAATAATTAATTCATTTAATTAACGTCAGAACACTCATTAGTATACGATCTCATAAATTCAATACTAAATCGGTAGTAAATTGGTCAAATCAATTTATTAATTAAGGTTGGTATCTACTAACATTCTTGTCTACTAATATTCTTTAATGACTGAATAATATGAAATGTATAATTATTCTTAATAATCTGTTAAAGAATGATATAATATTTCCTTCTATCATTATTGTTCTGGATTAATCTTGAGATATAGTTTAACTGTCAAATCCCAATGGATAATCAATTATGTTTTGTGTCACTTATAATTGACTAATAAATGATATAAAAAATTATTTTTTTTCTTTCATTCAATTATTTTGATCAAGATCTTAATGAAGTCATTATAATAAATGACAATATAAAATTTAAACTTATTACTAAAGTTGACAGATTTTGTTTAGATCAATCATTAATTTTACAAATATTTAATCAAATTTAATATTCTTTTAATTATAGTTCTAGAGTTATATGTAATAGCAGGGCCCAAAATTTGACCCAAGATTAATTTTAACATTCTAAAATATATAAAAAATCTATTTTTAAAATTAATAAATTTTAATTTAATGTGGAGTTATAAAAAAATATGTGAAAATTTGGATTCAGATAGTGTTTTTGAAAGAAAACTCAAAAATTAGAGGTCAGAATATAAATAAAAAAAATTTAGCTATGTAGTACTGCCCAGTCAGCAGTCTCGACGAATCAGAGCGCGCCGCGTGGCAAGGCACGCTGACTCGGTGTCACGCAGGAGGTTACGCTAGAGATTCGCGTGCCCTGCGATCAGACGACCCAGAAGCGATCCCATGCATGTGAACGGTCCGGATATGTTTTTTTCTTAGGCGCAATCGGACGGTCGAGATCAAACACGATGAACGGTCTAGATTTATTTTTTCTTTAAGCGCGATCGAACGGTTGAGATCAAATACAATGAACGGTTCAGATTAACGCGAGATGAGTATAAATATTTTGCATTACACTGAACCTGAACCCTAACCGTCAGCCTCCTGTCAGCCTCCCGCTGAAGAAGATGAACCAGTTGCTGGAGAAGGGAGCCGACCGTAAAAAAAAGTAAAAATTTTCTTACTCACTCGAAATTCAATTTTGAGCACCTTGTGGCCATATCGGAGTGAAATAAATGGTAGGTGAGCCAGAAATTGCAAGCAAAACCCGCAACCTTTTCCGATGAGCCCCTTCTTGTTTTCTGTTTCGTGGGATTTTTTCAACGTTGTATTTACCGCTCTGTTTTCTATAGGTTGACTGAAGAAAAAATCCCAGTTGCGAAGGTGAGTCGGTGGAGCTGCCACACCCAAAAAACTCTACCACTGGTAGGTTTCTGTTTTATAATTTTTTGGGCCAACCGAGGCTCCCTAACATATTTTTTTGCAGGGATATGTATAAAGTCGGTTGAAATCAGTCAAAACCGGCCGAAAATAGCCAGGTTGAGGCAAACCATCGCTGTAGGTGGCGGTGCCACCGTCACTGAAGCACGACGGTGTCGCCGTGCCAGAATCCCAAAATTGATTATAAATGATTTTTAACACCAATTTTTTATTTTTGGGCTATTTTTAAGTACGTGAAACGTGTTCTAATCTCCGCAAAATAATTCAGAAAACCTAAGGACTACCAATAGGCGCAGTAGAAATTTCGGTATTTTGGACATTGATTCGGGTAAGGATCCCTCACCTTTTTATTTGTTATGGAAAATTGAGACTTAATAATTAATAATTATGTATTTTTATGAAAAATTAGAGAATCTTAAAAATAATTACAGGTCACTAGTGGAGCTGGAACTGGTTAGTTCACAGTTATTTCGATTTCCTGTTTATTTTCCTGTATTGCCTATATTTATTTACTATTATACTGTACGTAACTCAATTAATGATTTTTAAGGTCTTTTTGTTATTTTGTTATTTGTTTCTCCTACATTACGTGCCGATATTTCGGTCATTGGTTATTTGATTGTGTTAAACTATATTGTTATTTAAGTGAACAGTGATTATAAAATGAGATATGATTATTACATGATTGATTGTTATACTAATGGAAATCTGTATAGGAAAGACTTACTGGGTACCTGAAAAAGGGTGGACGGGTCCAGTACATAGGAAACCTTACCGTAAACGTTATCTTAGTCGAACGGGATTAGAAAGTCCCTTACCAGTAAAGTTTGGGAGATATAGTTCACCCTCATACCGGACGTGGTATTGAGGTGGTGGCATGTTTGACACCCATACCGAACGGGGTATGGGGACGACCGGTTAATTGTTTAATTGGATATTGAGTTCACGAATAGGAAACATTCCTATGGACCTCCAGGGGTACTGATAAGTGGGTAAAATGTAAAATGATCATTTCTTGTTATCTTCTATGCGATAAATAATAGTGTATGAATATGAGTTTTCATAAGTTATTGTTGGGAAAGACTTGTTACACAAATATGTAATAAATATCTTTATTTATAGTAAATGAATTTACATTAAATTAAGGGCTTCATTGATTATTTTTCTGATTTTTACCAATCTTCAATTTTCCGTATCTATGATTAGTGTGATATTCTTGCTATGCTAGTATAGCTCACTTCATAATTAACTATTTTATATCAAAAGCACCAAGATGCAGATCACGATCAACAAGGGGGTTGTGAATAGTCCACCACCTGAACTCCCTTCAAAAGCTAGTGAAGGTCGTCTTAGGATTGCTTAGTTATTTTCTTTTCGTTTATTATTTTAGAATAGACATTCTCATAAACCTATCGGACATTCTAAAGTATTGTGTCAGGAATGTAAACCCTAACTCTATTATTTTGCTTATGTATTTAATTTGTAACTTTATTTTCATTTAAATTCTCGGTCTTTACAGTTGGTATCAGTGTCGCGTTCCTTGGAACCATTCATTACACAAAGACCTAAGGAAACACCAAAAAAATGAATTATCGTTCAACCATTCTTTGTGAAATGCAGGTACAGATAGATGAGGAGAGGAAGACACTAAACTGAGCAGCCCGGGAGAGTTCGGTTCGAGTGGATGTTGACTGACTATTTAAAATACTGGAGAGACTCATCACTACCCAGCAGACCCAGGAGGAAAGGAGGGAGCTACCTGACCCTTCCCTGCTGCTATAGTTTGAGCCACCACTACAGTGAGAGGATCCTGAGCCACCCCGGTACAACCTTGCTCCTCCATAGTTTCATCTGGCACCACCTGTAACGATCCCAGAAACTCTAAAGGTGATAAATTATAAATTTATTACAAAAGCGAAATAAGTAGTTAGAGTTTACATTCATTACACAATAACTGAAAGTACCAAATAGGACTTACGAGAATAACCATTCTAAAGAACAACTAATAACCAAAGAAATAAATCAAAGGTAAATAAACTGAATGTCCTACTCGTAACCCTCTTGTGGATTGAGCTCTAGATCCTGGTTCTCTTGATATGAAATGATTAATGAAAGAGTGAGCTACACTAGCCCAGTAAGAATATCACGCTACTCATCAACACATAAATAAAAGTTGGTAGAAATCATGAAAACAACTAATGGAGCTCTTAATTTAAGTAAATTCGTTTATCATAAATAAAATCATTTACTGCATACTTACTGTAGTGAGATTTCTAAAAATAACCTATGGAGTCAATAACATAACACATATCATAATTTCATGTACAATTAATCGGAACAACAACCTTCCCTTTTTCAGCCTATTGGTATCCATGAGGGTTCATAGGGATGTCTCCACTATGTGTGAATTTTTTTTTTATATTTTCAATTAACGGGCCGTCCTCATACCCCTTTCGATATGAGCGCCAAAGAATACCATCCCTTAATACTCCGTTTGATATGATGGTGAAACGAGCCGTCTCCATACCCCGTCCAGTACGAACACCAAATTACTAAATCTTGATATCCCGTCTGGTATGAGGCAACGTTCACGGTAAGATTTTCTATATACCCGGTTCGTTTACTATCTCTCCAGATATCCA